CAACAGGTGTTTCCAAATCAAAACTCTGGGAAAGGCTTTGGTTGGATGTGTTGTTTTTGTTTTGTTTCATATTTCATGCATATAGATATTTTCCATTATTATTTCATGCATTTTTCTGATACTCCTTTCACGGCCTTGCTGCTGACAGTGCTCAGATCATCATTGGCTGCAGCTTGGCCCCTCCTCCTCTCTGTCATGTATAAAGAGCCCAAGCTCCACCCCGACCCCAGAATGTACGTTGGTGACCAGAGGCAGCCCCAGCAGGAAGCAAACGACGGCGATGAGGAGGACGAGGATCTCACGTCTGCCGGGCCTCCGCAGTACACGGGGGAACATGTCTGTGATGGCAGTGGCCAGGCTCTCTACACACACAAACTGAGAACACACACACACACACACAGGCCTGATTACACTGCTCCTCACACACCATATCCCAGCATGCACCAGTGACTCAGTGAAATGACTCAGATTACATGCTTACAGTACATATCAGTGTGCACTTCAAATATAAAGGACAGTACATGGGACACGCACACAGGGCTGTGCATTTACCCTGTGTCTGTTTCATATCCTAATGCAGGGTTCTGCATATTAACTGTACCTGGCTGTCAAGGCCCAGGAAGATGATCATGAGGAAGAAAAGGACAGACCAGAACTGAGCTCCTGGTAACAGTGACAGTGCTTTGGGGTAAGCCATGAAGGCCAGCCCAGGACCTGCAAGAAGGAGGACCAATTACTGCTATGCATTTACAAGGATGCCTTATAACAAATCTAACAAATCTAAATAAATATTTTTCCAGATACACTGCAAGAACGTAATGTATTCTGTGTCATCAGAGTGTTGTGTGAAATTGTGTTGGATGGCACCACAAAAGGGAGCTCTCTGACTAGCTGTTTGTAACACTGCATTAACTGGGCTGCTGCACCCTCTTGTGGTAGTCACTGGCTACATTCCTAACTAAATGGCAAGGAATTTTGACTGCCACTTCGTAAATATACAGTACTTAAAATGGGCTTGTGCTCAGTCAAAGAAATATGAATGATATTTCTGCAGGTGTTTCTGGCCAAATAATCATAAAACAAAATTCTGCACACACGCTGTGGCGAAAAAAACAGGGATCCCTCCGTCCATCCAAAGTGTTTAATTTCACCAACTTCTACAAAAGTGCAAAAAGTGTTCAAGTGAGAGGAAGTGTGCATACGTAAACATGACAAGCGTAAACAAATGAAGTTAATGTTGTGTGTTCAGATATTACTAACATTCCCAAATGAATGCTGGGTATTCGATCTGTAGCATGCCTGCATCTGTAAGTCGTGTAAAATCAATCGCTTGTTGGGGGAAGAGAAAACCTCCAGACGCTATAAGACCTTTTCTACTCACCCGCCGCGACGATGTCGTGCATGGACACGCCAAGCTCCTCAGCCATAAACCCCAGCACAGAGAACACGGCGAAGCCAGCAAATATACTGGTGGCGCTATTGAGAACGCAAAGCGCCACACAGTCCCTGAAAAACAAACCACGGCATATTACAGATTAATTTTCTTGGACAAAAAACAGCCCGTGTAACTGCACCATAGCAAAACCTTCAAAAAAAAAACCCAAATCAAATGTTTATGTGGCTTGAATAGTTAAGACTGTTAATATTTCAAGATATTCAAAATACTCAATTGTTCATCTGACCTCATGGACAAGCAACAAGCGAGTCTGACTGTGAAACTGAGTTTGCATGCACATGAAATAATGTTGCTGTTCAGGACCATAGACTAAATCTTCAATCGTAACCTGTGCACATTGAAACTGGGCCCCTAATGTGATCACCAATCATGTTATCGCAATGAGTCCAGAGGGTGACATCGCCATCAGTGACAGGATCGCTAGGGATGGTGTGTTTAGGGTGACAGTGAGTGGTCACTGACTTGTAGCAGTCGTTGTTGTATCTGTTGTAGCTTCCAAGAGCGGTCAGGACTCCCTGACACACAGCATAGGAGAAAAAGACCTGGGTCCCAGCGTCGCGCCACACCTACAGAGAGAACACTGCCTGTCAGAGCTCCATGCACCAATCAAAATGGTCAGAGCAATGTTCATCACACCCAGTGGTATGAGGACTTACTGTGGACTTCTTATTCATTGTCTGCTGCTAATATTTTAATACATGGATCCAATCAAAAATAATCAATCATGGAAACCCACAATCATATGAATGATACATGAACATTAAGCCAGGTAGGATCTAATTAGTGAAATCACCTTGTTTAGTGAATGGCTAGAACAAATACATTTTAGGACTTTTACTTTCTGAAGCTGAAATTCAAATCATATGAATGATACATTTAATAAATCTAATTACAACTCCCCCAGGAAATTCAATTGGCTATTTAATAAACATTACCATGTAATGCAGTTCTGCGAATCAAGGCCAAGTTTTATGAATTTCTGGGCAAGTTTCTTGTTTGATAAACTACCTCCTACAAACATTCAACCATTAGACTGAAGCTCTCTGGCTTACAGAAAATGTTTATAAGATAATGATACACCCCACTTTGCATGTTGAACAAGAAAATTTATCTATGAGTGTTCAAAGCACTATGGTGGCACCATCTGGTGACTGCATGTCAGCATCTGCTTAATATTAACAGGGTGGGCCTTGATGCAACCCCAGCCATCCCCAGGGTGCCCTCTGCGATTGCTTTCCTCTGTGTAAACATAATCAGGACATTAAGAAACACACATTAAAAATGCCACGTGCTACTATCTCCCGTATTTGAACTATCGTCTTTTCATAACTTGTGCGGGTGTTGTGTAACCCTTCCACCCTGACCCAAATCGGAGGTTTAGCTTGGGTTGCTGGTAACACACCTAAAGCTACACGCTATGAATGAGGAGAGCGCAACCTTTCAGAATCTGATTCATTCTGTCTTCCCTAATGGCAATAGGCCCTATAATTACAGACAATGTCACTGCCTGTTCATGCAAGAGGGGATTCTTGTGATGGGAGACCACCTTGCTATGGATGGGTTGGTCTCACATACTATCAAGTAAATATCTGTGTCACAGCCATGATGGTATGTATTTCCTCTTCCAAATGGACATATTTCTCATATCCTAATGTAGACACATAGGCTGTAATTACAGAGAAGCAAGTCTCCAGGCTGTGTGTGAGGAAGGCTACAGACACAACACACAGCATCACCGGCCTCCCTTTCTGCCTATTAACAGCTGTTGGGCCACACTGACTGCTGCAAGTATCTCTGCAGAGACAGGATATTGGGCCCAGAAAAGACTTTCACTATGAGACAGGGTTTGATCTGCTCCTGGAATGTGCCCTTTGACCCCACAAACTGCGATGGGAAGAAAAAAAAAATCCAAGATCAGAGTTCAGCCACAAAAGTGTGAGCCAAAAAAAAAAACGAAAGCAAGCCTGACATCAAATGCTGTGTGTGATTTGTGCTGTTGGTGGCTTTGACCACTCTGTAAACTGAACTGCTCCCATGGAGCAGACCGACTGTGCCATGCAGAGGCATATTATTCAGAGCACATGCTGCTCTGGGGTCAGCAGGAGGGCTCTGAAGACGCCGGCTCCTGCAGGTGACCGTGTGTGTTCTGTGGCTGCCGGACGCTTCCCCCTTTCTGCGGGACGGCCTGTGTGATGGCGGGAGGAGAGCTGGTGCAGCATGTAGAATTAGGGTGCTCCCGTGGCCCCGCACAAGAATGTGGACCCTGAAAACAGTCCCGCCACACAGAGATACCACATGCGCTCTCTGTGAGGACGCCTGGAACACGACCCTGCCACAGCACAGCACTCTTGCTTTGACCAGTGACAAGCCACCGAAAAAGGAGCGTCTCTTAGTGAATGCAGAGGGAGAGCTGCCTAATAGCCATGCAACACACAGTGATCCCTCACGCACAGGTTTGACTGTATTCACACATGCACACCCTGCGCTTTTCCGGAACACTCTAGTCATGCTATGTCTATGCCCATCCCTCATCTGGAAAGCGCCAAGCCAAGCGCATGTATTATGTACAGCCTTTCGACAGTCAAGGTGGTAACAGACATGAGAGCCGTCCAGGGCTGCGGTCCTGTAAGACCCGGCTTACGTTGGCGTCAGCGATCTTGGAGAGGTCCGGATAGAGGTAGAACTTCAGCCCCACCCAGGCCCCCGGCAGGGTCACACCGCGGAAGAAGAGGATGAGGAGCATGAGGTAGGGGAATGTCGCCGTGAAGTAGACCACCTGAAACCGCAGACGCACAGTGAACGGACCGGCCACTGTGTTCAGTTCAGACATTCTCACATCCAACGCGCCACCTTGAGGCCGATTCACGCTGTATTATTGGCATGACGTGTAATACTGCGATGTGTTCTGTACTCTGTGATCTAGAGACTGATGTATGGTAGTATGCTTGGCTTCTGTTGCCTTGTCAGGTTGCACAAGTTAACTTGTGGTCAGGCTTGAACAGTGTTCTGCTCACACTCACTGGTCTGGGAGTGTTCTTAGCCTGGTCTGACCCTATCCCTCATTCAACTTCAATGGGTACACTTCTGTCCTTTTGTGCTGGAAGTCACTCTGGAGAAGAGCGTCTGCTAAATAAATATAATGTAATGTAATACAATGACAGAAGTACAATGCATCTTCATAGACAGCGTGTAAGTTTTCCACATAATTTACAAGATTTACTGATGATAACCAAAACATATTGCAAATGAATGTTCTGCAGTGGCACTTTCTTTGGAATGATGAATTTACAGCATGGATCACGTTTAAGCTGGAAAACAAATTTTTACTTGATTCTATCCAAATCTACTGCTCTTGCGACCCCAATTTTGCAAAGAGCAGCACCATTATAGTTATTCTATTCTTACACCCAGCATTTATCCAGAATGTGGCCATTAATAGTTTTCTGAAGACACATAAATGATAATCATTCATGTTTAACATCAGAAAGCTTGCATAACATCTTTTCATTCTCTGTAGAAGGAGCTAGACACAAGGACCCAAGGTAGCAGTGTAGCATAGTGGTAAGGAGCTGGGCTCATAATCAAAAGGTTGCCAGTTCGATTCCTCACTGTTGTTGTACCCTTGGGCAAGGTAACCCAGAATTGCCTCAGTTAATATCCAGCTGTATAAATGGATAACATGTAAAAATTGTAACCTACGTAAGTGGCTGTGGATAAGAACGTCTGCTAAATGCCAGTAATGTAATGTATTGGAATGTAAAATATCCTAGCAAAATCAAGATCCCTCTTTCCTGCCTGAATATGCAGAAGTGCCCCCCTCCTTGTCTGTAAATGCCCCCTCCCCTGGTCTGTAAAGGCAGGCACATTCCCCCCTCCCTCACCTTGCCTGTAGATCTGATTCCTTTCCAGATGCAGAAGTAGCAGACCACCCAGGCCAGCAGCAGACACAGGGCCAGCTCCCAGCGCACTGGGCCCAGGGGCACAAACAGGTCTTCAGTCTGACCCAACACTCTCCTCCTGGGAGAGAACACGCAACCACACAAACAAGCATCCACATGCGCATACACATATGCACACCAAACACGCACACAGAGACACACATAGACAATACATACAAACACACACAGCCACAGCTGAGTCACTGTCTTCTGGTTCTTTCTGCTACTCCTTGCCCAGTTGTGTGAAGCCATTTTGGGGTGCCTCTGACTTCACATCTGAGCTATGCTATTCAGACCTCCTGATAAATGGCACCATTGTGCTGTGACTGTCCCACACACAGGCAAACCAGCATTGAAGAACACGGTCCTCTTTTTGATGGCGAACAAGCAGTCGCACCAACTGATCTTACATTTTAAAGCTGTGCAGATGTGGTCTTTCATTGCTTTATATTCACTGGTCATCAATGACTATGGAATAGAACAGACCGCTCAACGCTGCTCCTCTGGGGAGGCCAGCTGTGTTTGCAGGTTTACAATCCACCCAGGCTCCTAAGCACCTGATTCACCAAATTCATGCCTCAGCCCAACCAATGTGGCCTCCCTTCCCTGGGTTAGAGGACTGGAAAAGCTGCTGGCTGGCAGGGCCTCTGGAGGAGAGGGATGAGAATATGCAAGCATCACTCTTTTCCCCCTTTATTTATACAGATTAACCACAGCGATGCTTTCTCCCCAGTGCAGTTGGAGAGGAGACAGGTTCTTCGGCCCACACCGGGATCTGGGGGCACACACCGCATCTGGGGAGTTGGTCCACAGAGCTGAGGCTGTTCCCAAATCTTATTCCACCTCACCAATCCCACTGCTTGACTATAGGCTCTCCCATGATGCACAAGGGGCACAGTTGTTTGCTCTGTGCTCAGATTGCATCATGGGATAGGCATCTGTCAAACCGAAGGTGAGTCAAGGCACTGTTCTTTTGACAGTGCATCTGTGCCCATGTCCAATAAACCATAATACAATTTTCATTGTGTTATTTTCTCACATGCATCTCACCACTCGCAAGCCATTATACCTGTAGTTTTGTGAACTGCTGCCATAGAAACAGATCTAACTACTTTGCACACAGTAACCACCACACAGCTTCTACAAGTTCATTACAGTTAAGCTGAGGCTTATTATGTGTATGGCCTTTGGACAGTCAAGGTGATAACAGACATGAGAGCCGTCCAGGGCTGCGGTCCTGTAAGACCCGGCTTACGTTAGCGTCATCGATCTTGGAGAGATCTGGATAGAGGTAGAACTTCATCCCCTTCCAGGCCCCCAGCAGGGTCACTTGACTTATTATGTGGCTAGCAAGTAAATAGTATAGCACAGAATGGCACAGCTCTATAGCATAGAATAACACGCCCACAAGAGATTAGCATTTCTTATGATTCTTGCTTTGCAATCCCCTCAGCTCCAGAGAAGGCTACAGATATACCGAGCAAATTTGGACGCAGTCCTAATCAGAAAGGGTCTGTATAGGGGCCTGCAGTGCTTGGAACTTACTTCCAAAACTCCTCCTCTGGTGTGGAATGCATGTAGCCCATGGGTGAGAATTCACTGTGGAAAGAGAATTGTGGGAATTCAGAACATTGATGTCCACATTTTTAGCATATTTTTAGTTTTAGCCAATACCAGGCAAAACCATAACCTTTAAAGGTAAAAACAGCTGTAAAATTCACAGCGTCAACATGCCATGTTGCGAACATGCTGTCACTGTGGGTCATAATATGATCTCTTGTGTGAACCTGGGCATTACATTTCAAGTGTTTGGAATCCCATCAGTGGCAGGGGACATGTGTGCACAGAAATGTGAATCCCTGCATCATAACCAAATGGCCAAGTCTATGCATCTATAAAAATCTCAGATAAGCACATTCGCTCTACCAGTTTAACACAGTCTTTCCCAGCCTCTTCCAACATTTCCAATTAACACCCCTCAAAAATGTTACAAATAGCTGTACCATGTGTCAGTAACATTTATTATATGGGCAGCAGTCTGGCATAATGGTAAGGAGCAGGGCTTGTATCCAAAAGGCTACAGATTCAATTCTCCATTGGGGCACCGTTGCTGTACCCCTGGGCAAGGTAGTTAACCCAGAGTCGCCTCAGTAAATTGTTATATAAATGTATAACATGGAAAAAGAAAATTGTAAACTATGTAAGTTGCTCTGGATAAGAGTTTCTGATAAATGACAATAATGTAACGTAATATGTAATAGATTGTTAATTCCACAAATATAAAGAGTTTTTTCCTGGTCTTTCCCCAGGCTTGGGAAAATCTGGCTCAGGCAAGGTGTTAAAATCACAGCAATAAGAGAGGGAATCATACTCTGTACTCAGTCATATAGGTCATGCTCAGTCATAAAGGAAGTTTTGGAAGCGTACTTGTCGTAATACTCATCCGTGCTGTTGTGCAGGTTAGGCGAGTCTACACCAGTGCTGTTCTGGCACTGAGCTACAGGGAGATTAGAGACAGAGGGTCGGAGTTAATTGTGTGGGAAAAACACAACAAATGCTCAATTCAGCAATCAAACATCTGCAGAGGTGGTTCAACAAGCAATGATTTCCACCAGGTGTTTTAGCTGTAGTACCTGCAGGTGTTTCCTCCTGAGCTTAATATTGTTGCATGGTAAGAAAGATCAGTTGTGGTGGATCTATTACTCTGAGGGCTAAACTCAGTCTGATGAGTTTTTTCTAAACTTTGAGCAAATAGCTGCTGATATTTCCCAGTGCTTGCACAATTTTCTGAGTATGTTGTTGCAGAAATGCTGGGAAATTCTCATGAGAAAAGGCAAGTCTAACACCTGCATAAATGTGCTTCTTAAATTTAAATGTAAATGTAAAAGCAAACCTTCACAACTTGAGTGTCTTAGTCACAGACTCAATTCAGTTAACTAAGACAGTGACTCAGCTCCACAGTGACTCTGATTAATCTCTCCTAATTTATGAAGGTCTTCTCCGAATGCTAGTGAAATGAATGCTTCCCCGCTGTTTTTCTGTGTCTCTGGATTGGAAGTAACTTCTTGAAAATAAGCCCTTGATCATACCTGTGTTCCAAATGTTGTTGCAGGTTGACCAGGGAAGCGGATCGCTGAATGAACTGAATAGGTAAAAAATGGCCCATGCCAATAGTATGATATAGTAGACGTTGAGGTACATGACAACCACTTGAGATGCATATCCGATTCCTACAATGAGACAAAAAAGAGTCAAAAACAGGCAGGGCTCTTGTTAACACTATTACATAATTAGCTTCCTGTTCTTACAAACACGGTGCACTATAGTGCATGTCCAAATGCAGATGAATGCCCCATTAACCCCTTAGTGGAGACGGAGGAGGTCTGCAACCTTTGGTGAGGATGTTTCGGCACAGCCACATCGTGGGGAAAAAAATCTTACCCTCAAACATGGGGCAGATCTTCCTCCAGGCGGTGACTCCGCCCTCGCTCGTGTACTGTCCCAGCGCTGTCTCCAGGAAAAACACAGGGATCCCGCAGAAGAAGAGGAAGACGAAGTACGGGATGAAGAACACACCTATGGAGCACAGTTGTGACAGTTACCCTTGGAGCCTACCTGCTGGAGTTGGATCAAGTAATCAAGTAAGATTAAGGGCAGGAAGCCAGAGGGACAAAAAGACCGTGGAAATATAAATGATTTTCAGATAAAGCAACTTTCAGATAAAGCTGGACTGCTTTGCCCAAACTTGTCTGCTTTCTGTGGAACCACCTCAGGGCTATTCAGGCTATCTCCTTAAGAACAGAAGAAGCCCCATTGAAGCTCTAGAGCAGTAGCATGCATGTTTATGGAATAAATGTTATTGCTGTTGAGCACTGACACAGAAGAGGATATCCTCCTATGACCTTTGAATGGCAGACTAGCAGTGTGTGTGTGTGTGTGTGTGTGTGTGTGTGTGTGTGTGTTGAGGATGACGATTTTTCAAATATTGCAGTATTGCAGCCCATTTGCGTAGCAGATGCCCTCATACTGGACAGTTTAAACAGATTAAATTTGACACATTGTGCATTTACACAGCTGGATCCCTCCAGTTTGGGTATTGTTCAGAGGAACTATGACAGTGGCAATGTAGCATAGCGGTAAGGAGCAGAACTCGTAACTAAAAGGTTGCCAGCTCGATTCCCCACTGGGGCACTGCAGCTGTACCTATGGGCAAGGTACTTAACCTAGAATTGCCCCAGTAAATGTACAGCTGTATAAATGGATAACATGTAAAAACTGTAATCTATGTAAGTCGCTCTGGATAAGACTGTCTGCCAAATCACTGATTCTCAATCATGCTCCTGGGGGCTCCCTGCTCTGCACATTTTCCAACTTTCCCTGCTCTACCAACCTAACTGAACTCATCAGTGACACTTTTGATTAGCTAAGCACACCTGATTTAATCAAGAGCATGTTAATCACACAATCAGGTGTGTTTGGAGCAAGGATAGATAGAAGATATGCAGGACAGTGGGCCTTTCGGAGTAGGGTTGAGAAACACTGTGCTAAATGACAATGATGTAATGTAATAATGAGTACAAACATACCTAGGTCCAGTTCCCTGACCTTGCACTACACTGCCACCCCTGCACAAAGGAGTTAACAGTAGTATATTATCACAGTATTCAATTATTCCT